AATCCAAATATTTCAAAATGGAATTCAAAACTAAAATAAAAAAAAGAGAATCTTACTATATGATATGGATGAAAATTCTTTTTTATCCAATTCTTTTTTTATGGATCCAAAAATATTGGATAAATTATTAATTATTAGATAAATGGATAAAAAGAGTATTCTAGGTAATTGGTAATGAAAATAATTTGGATTCGTATTTTTAAATGATTCCGATTTGTATCATATTCTATATACTAGAATATCAAATAAATATGGGATATTCTATCTTTTTTTGTATTTATTTGATTATGTTATGATATAGTAATTGTGTTATAAAGAGCTAATATGAAATAGTTAATAACTAGGATCCCAGTAGTTTAGGAAAGAATTCTGATAAATGCACAATTTGTGTTTTGAGAGCCCGCTTAGCTCAGAGGTTAGAGCATCGCATTTGTAATGCGAGGGTCATCGGTTCGATTCCGATAGCTGGCTTTTTTTTATTTCTTTTTTATTTCTATATCGATAGGATAGAATTCCATTCGGATACTGATAGAATCCTTCTAATTCTTCTTTGTACTACAGTAGTACAATACTTTAATAGTACAATACTTGAAGTAGATTTCACTTCATTTATAATATCATATTTGTCATTTAGTTTAGTTTTGATATTTCTTTATGAGATTTTCCATTTTAAAAAGGAGTGTTTATATCACGTTACAGAGGGCCTCGTTTCAAAAAAATACGCCGTCTGGGGGCTTTACCAGGACTAACCAGAAAAGAGCTTCCAGTTAGAAGAGTTGGAAGCGAAGAATCGCTCTCCAGTAAAAAATCTCAATATCGTATTCGTTTAGAAGAAAAACAAAAATTGCGTTTTCATTATGGTCTTACAGAACGACAATTACTTAAATACGTTCGTATTGCTGGAAAAGCGAAAGGGTCAACCGGCCAGGTTTTACTCCAATTACTAGAAATGCGCTTAGATAACATACTTTTTCGATTGGGTATGGCTGCGACTATTCCTGAAGCCCGTCAATTAGTTAACCACAAACATGTTTTAGTTAACGGACGTATAGTAGATATACCAAGTTATCGTTGTAAACCTAAAGATATTATTACAGCCAAGGATGAACAAAAATCGAGAACTATAATTCAAAATTCTCTTAAATCAGCCCCCCGCAAAAGAGTGCCAACCCATTTGACTCTTCATCCAGACCAATATAAAGGATTAGTCAATCAAATAATAGATAGTAAATGGGTTGGTTTGAAAATTAATGAATTGTTGGTTGTAGAATATTATTCTCGTCAGACTTAAACCTCGTTAAAATAACAAGAATTTTGATCCGAGTATTTTTTCCCCCATTCGTGTATAGAAGTGGGTGTAGCAAAATTGTTATTCCTTGCCCACTTTATGCACAATTTTCTATATTACAGAAACAAATTAGGAATAGAGAATGCATATAAAAGTTGCAATAATTTTATCTATATATTATTTAAAACATTGAGGTCAGTAACATTGATGAACTTGGTAAGGGTGCGGAAAGAGAGGGATTCGAACCCTCGGTAAACAAAAAGCCTACATAGCAGTTCCAATGCTACGCCTTGAACCACTCGGCCATCTCTCCTACATAATGATTATGTCCCTAAACCGAGTGAATAGTGAGGCATTTATATCCCATTTGCGTAAGCACACACAATACAATCAATTGAAACTAAGAACAAAAAATTCTACTTCAACTTCAAAGCCTACAGTAGAATAAAGTAATTTGATTAATAAGTCTATTTTTACGTTATTTCATACTGTATTGTACAATTCCTTTGTTTGGGGAATTATTTTATCACGCGATAAAAAATGAAATTATAGAATGGATTGCTACCTATGACTAGATCTCGGATAAATGGAAATTTTATTGATAAGACCTTTACCATTGTAGCCAATATCTTATTACGAATAATTCCCACAACTTCTGGAGAAAAAGAGGCATTCACTTATTACAGAGATGGTGCGATTTGATTTTTTTTTTACCGATCTCAGTCTTAGGAGAAAGATACATTCTTCAGAGACAAATAAAAAAAACGACGCTTGCTGAAGGTGAAGTTTGGAAATAAAACGATTAATCCCTTCTGTCGTGTATTCCTGATTAATGCATCCTCAATATGCTTCAATTTTGGGTTTATAGTATTAAGCAAAATGTTATACCTATATATACCCATTTATGGGGTTAGGTGAATCCTACTCCACTAGTACAAATAGGCGGCATGGGGGAAGAAGCACTACGCTAGGGAATCAACAACAGGACAAAAATTTGTAAAAAAAAATCCTTCCTTTCTTATCGGAATCGGGACTAACTAGAATGGTTGGGACAACAAACATCCATCTCGTTCGTATTTTGGATACCCATATAACCATCAAAGATTGTTGAAGTGACTAATTCTGGGAAATTAAGCGGCGTTGAGGACAAATAAATTGTTGAAGTTATGATTGATTTATCCAGTAATAACTTACTAAATGTTAATAAAAGATCCTTTACAGAAAGGTTGGCTAGAGATTTCGTGTAAAAACACTAGTCCCGCTCAGTTGATAATGAGAATATTGCAATCTTTTTTGATTCCATGGATGTTTCTCATTATCCACATAAAGGAGGAGCCGTATGAGATGACAATCTCACGTACGGTTCTGGAACGGAGATTCTTTGAACCGAATGACGACCGTAACGGATGTCGGCTCAATTTGAAGGAAATTATGCGGAAGCTTTACAGAATTATTATGAGGCGATGCGACTGGAAATTGATCCCTATGATCGAAGTTATATACTTTATAACATCGGCCTTATCCACACAAGTAACAGAGAACATACAAAAGCTTTGGAATACTATTTTCGGGCACTCGAACGAAACCCTTTCTTACCTCAAGCTTTTAACAATATGGCCGTGATCTGTCATTACGTGCGACTATCTCCACTATAGAAAGAAAAAAGAAAAGAACCTCCACTAGTAGTCATAAATACTAGACAAAAAAATAGGCTTTCTACATATATATCGTTCGAAACAACGATTTTTATGAGCTGTAGCAAAGAAAGAAACTTCATATTCATAGAAGTAAAAATATGAAGAAATAGAATATATATATGCCTAGATACTTTTTTCTATGGATAAAAGATCTAATTGATAAAGGAAGCACCGTAAAGATCAAGTAACAAGGTTTTTGGCCGATACAACCAGAACTGCTTACTTATATGATGATAGATTCGAAATCAACTTATGTAATAAAGTTGATCCCCGAAGGTTTTGAGCAGTGGTGTAGTATCAGATCCCAAAGATAGTAAGTCTTTTCTTATGAAGAAGAGTCTTTCTCACAGATTCTATAGAAATAGATATATTATATATGAAATGATATATGAACTCGAGATAGTTACCTTTGAGAAAATTCAAATAAGAGCGTTAGTATTAATGTCGATGCCTTCTTCTTCAGAAGGTAGGAGAAAAGATAAAACTAAAAACAAAGGATTCAATTGAATTATTAATCCAAATTCAAGTTTTAAACTCATGTAATTAACCTCTTTTCTTGTTATTAACTCCAGAAAAAATGGAAGATCAAAAGAATTGACTGTTGAGCCGTATGAGTCAGGAAACTCTCAAGTACGATTCTAAGGGAAGGATTTTACTCCCCTATTCCGACCGCGGAGAACGGGCCATTCGACAGGGAGATTCTGAAATTAGAGAATCTTGGTTTGATCAAGCTGCTGAATATTGGAAACAAGCTATAGCCCTTACCCCTGGTAATTATATTGAGGCATAGAATTGGTTGAAGATCACAGGGCACTTTGAATAAGAACAGTCTTTTTATTATTTTCTTTTTTTTATTCTAATTCAAATATTATTGTCTATATTTTATTCTCTAATAGAGAATAAAATATATAGAAAATCCATTATATATATTGAATTTTTGATAGTTTATTGTCCCCATCAATCAAATAAAAGGGTCCGTTGAGCGCCTCACTGCTATGTCATAATGGATCCAAACACTTGCCCCGGATTCACTTCCGGATCCTAATTGTTCTAGTGAATAACTCAAGAAAATATGGAATAGATGGGAGATAGAAGAGAAAGATATTCAATATAAACATTTCTCATAAGTTCACGAATTATGTTTTATGTTGGCAGGTCTCTTTGAATGTGTTGTCCGGAAAGAGGAGGACTCAATGATTATTCGTTCGCCGGAACCAAAAGTCAAAATTTTGGTAGATAGGGATCCCATAAAAACTTCTTTCGAGCAATGGGCAAAACCTGGTCATTTCTCAAGAACAATAGCTAAGGGACCTGATACTACTACTTGGATCTGGAACCTACATGCTGATGCTCATGATTTCGATAGCCATACTAGTGATTTAGAGGAGATTTCCCGAAAAGTATTTAGTGCTCATTTCGGTCAACTCTCCATTATCTTTCTTTGGCTGAGTGGCATGTATTTCCATGGTGCTCGTTTTTCAAATTATGAAGCATGGCTAAATGTTCTAAGGGAAGGATTTTACTCCCTTATTCCGACCGCGAAGAACAGGCCATTCGACAGGGAGATTCTGAAATTGGAGAATCTTGGTTTGATCAAGCTGCTGAATATTGGAAACAAGCTATAGCCCTTACCCCTGGTAATTATATTGAGGCACAAAATTGGTTGAAGATCATAGGGCGTTTTGAATAAGAACAGTCTTTTTATTATTTTCTTTCTTTTTATTCTAATTCAAATATTATTGTCTATATTTTATTCTCTAATAGAGAATAAAATATATAGAAAATCCATTATATATATATTGAATTTTTGATAGTTTATTGTCCCCATCAATCAAATAAAAGGGTCCGTTGAGCGCCTCACTGCTATGTCATAATGGATCCCAACACTTGCCCCGGATTCACTTCCGGATCCTAATTGTTCTAGTGAATAACTCAAGAAAATATGGAATAGATGGGAGATAGAAGAGAAAGATATTCAATATATAAATTTCTCATAAGTTCACGAATTATGTTTTATGTTAGCGGGTCTCTTTGTATGTGTTGTCCGGAAAGAGGAGGATTCAATGATTATTCGTTCGCCGGAACCAAAAGTCAAAATTTTGGTAGATAGGGATCCCATAAAAACTTCTTTCGAGCAATGGGCAAAACCTGGTCATTTCTCAAGAACAATAGCTAAGGGACCTGATACTACTACTTGGATCTGGAATCTACATGCTGATGCTCATGATTTCGATAGCCATACTAGTGATTTAGAGGAGATTTCTCAAAAAGTATTTAGTGCTCATTTCGGTCAACTCTCCATTATCTTTCTTTGGCTGAGTGGCATGTATTTCCATGGTGCTCGTTTTTCAAATTATGAAGCATGGCTAAATGATCCTACTCACATTCGATCTAAGACCTTCTAAAGGAAAAAATCATGTCAAACCTAGTAAAAAACAAAATATTCATTACAAAAACTAATATGTTTGATGTATCTAAGTGTGATTAAAATTTTTATCTTTTGGTTGCTGATGGTTAGATCATAGTGCCAGAAGGTCTAAAGATGCCACCATTAGAACAAAGAAAGAAAATAGATTTCTGAAAGTATCATAATTTTCTTGGTGATAAAACCTCTCAATGTGTTATTTTCATGGATTTGATACAAAACATGTTGAAAGATGGAAAGTTGAAGTTTGGAGACAAGACCAAACTGCCCATAAAGATTGATTATGACCCTCTGTAGGGCAAAGAAGAAAATTCCGCTGAACTTGTCAATACAATGATAGTTGTGATCACAAAAGACTCGGGTTCAAAGGAAGGAAATGAGAATATACTAGACTATGTTTAGATGGTTAAAGTTTTTTATCCAAGGGCTAAAGAGGAATTAATTGGCTTCCTCGACACATGTAAGATCAAAGGATCTGAAGTCATGACATGCCCTCGTTGTAGTGCTATTTTCGACAAAGAGGCCATAAAAATCCCCAAGGATTTCAAACCTCAGCCGCCTAATACGAGCCATAGGAATGTAATAAGGTCTCAATATGACTTTGTAAAAGAGGCTTTGCTTACCAAAAATCGCAAGAAATCTCACGCCAATGGAGGAGTCAAAATATTTATGTGCCATCCGCTAATGCTCTTGTTGGTGAGTGGATTTGACTGGTGGGAAAGCCTAATGCCGACCAACATAAGTTAAAGATGATTAAGGTAAGTGCAAGTTCCCTTTTAAATGACAATTCTCAAATCTCTAAAAAGTACTCATATGGTTTAAAGAACTGTTTGGGTAAAAATCCGATGACTTGGACTTAATAGAGAAGATATTAGAGAAAAAAGAAATTGGGTCTTGAAGCCAGATAATCAAATAAAAATGATAAAATGCCAAATATGGCAGAATTCCAAATGGAAAAGAAACATCTAAAGGAGAGACTTTTTTCTCCTTTACCATCAGTGGACAAATCAAATGGCAAAGAATCTGTGCAAAATGAAGATGACGAGATGTTAACAAATAACTTTGATTCAAGGTCGAAGGAGAATTAGACATCATGTGTAATGTTATGTCTGTCCTTCCTATAGAATACAAAACTATAATTGAGGTAACATAGCAAGAAAATGAAGACCTTGTAGAAGGAATAGTGAGCCATAAACATCTTTGTTAATATGTGATGAACAATGGTTGTGTTAAAGAAGAAAATGCCTCTTTTGAAAGTCCTGGTGAAGGGATGAAACAACATCTCAAATCACTATTTATCTAGGTTAAAGCAGATGGACTGGGTGTTAATAAAGTGTTAGTTGATGGCAGAGAGACTTTAAATTTGATGATGTATTTTCTATTAAAGAAAATTGGGAAATTTGACCTAGATTTACGAAGTCATAATATGGTTCTATCCAATTATTAGGGCAAGACAAGTTACTCCTTAGGAGATACTGAGGTTAAAATCTTTGTATGGACAATTATAAGACCAACTTTATTTGTGGTCATTGCGCCAAGGTGAATTATAATTTGTTGTTAGGACGATAGTGGATCCATGACATATGAGTGATACCTTCAACCCCACACCAAAGGATTTCCATATGGCGGTCTGATGGAGTTGTAAAAAATATTAAGGTCGTCCAGAGTTACTTTCTCACATATATTAATAAAGTAGATAAAAGGACACTTGACGAGAGGTTGGCTAGTATTTCCCCTTGTATGCATGTGGGAACAACATTTTCTATGCAAGGAGATATCATTTGCTCCATGAAGTTGCATCTCACCTATAGCTTTAAGTGGGAACATGAAAGTATGGGAGGTGAAGGTTCGACCATATCTACTGGATGGTCAATAGACAACAACGATGACTGAGTTCAACACTTTGGCTCATATTTCAGCTTATGTGGCCAAAAATAAAATCAAAGTAGCCTTGGAGGCCGATTTATAACAAATAATGGTTGCCAAAGCTAATAAAGTTAAAAACAATAAAAAATGGAAGTCGGTCAAAATTCTCGCCAAACAGCCAGAGGCTTGACTGTATCTACGATGATGAGCCTTTAGAATTTGAAAAAGATCTGTTGACTTCAAATTCAAGCTAACATATATAACTACCAAGATCGGTCCAAGCATCAAAGATCCTCTGGATGAAGTCGATATTGGCTTATGTTTCATAGCATCTTGCATTAGCATTTGTGCATAGCATTGGTTTTAGACAGGGGATCAAGATGTTGTATTTACCATTAAAAGGTGAAGTTTCATGTTCAAATTTCAAGCAAGGGTACAATTTCAAGTCACTAAGTCTTTATTGTCATCAGAATTGTCTCAAGTTTGCTTGAGCAGAGAAAGTATGTGTTTGGTTATCTCCTCCTATCTTGAGAATGATTGGAGGCACATGTAGCTATATCCTTGGATGAGACATCATTCAAGATCTCAATGTACACCTTGAGGGTCCTGTACGGGGACTATATGATTACACAAACCATTTACAAGAACCTCAGTTAATGGATAAGATGTTAGGGTTTCGTCTGGTCAACAAAAGTCAACTGTGGATTTGAGAGAGCTCAAGGCTTGGTTCTTGATCATTGAAGCCATGAGAAGTCATACTAAGTCATCTCAATTGTCATGTGGAAGCTATGTTAAAGAGAATCAAGAGTTCAAGAAGTTGCTAAATTAGGGTTTCAAATGATTCTCAGTGTAAAATCCCCTCTTTTGGCATATAACTTCAATGACAATTCTCACTATGATGCAAGTCCCATCTCATCTTCCATCAAACATGAGACTTGTTCCTCATCTTTCAAGATTTCTTTTGAGTGCAAGAACTCTCCCATTGGATTCATACATCTCAGTTTATGGTTGGTACAAGTGGGTGTCACAAAATGAAGAGAATTTAGAAGCACTCAAGGGTAACTCACTTCCAAGGCATTTTTCACATGGAATCAAGCTTTTCCTCATTCTTCAACAAACATGAGAGTTGTTCCTTGTTGTATAATGTTTCCAAAATGTGTTAGAACTCATCATTCTCATGTGTGAAGCTCAAGTTATGATCATCCCAAGTCAAGGTTATTTTTGGAAACCTAGTTTTAGGTCATTTAACTTCAAGGAACAAATTCATGAACTTCAAGACTTCAAATCTAAATTCATGCCACATGAAACTTGTTTGCTAAAACCTTAGCTCCATCGTGATCCTAAAATCCATGGCCTTTGATGACTAGTGAAACCATTAAGGCATGATGAGCATGAAAACATGGATTATGGATACAATGTGGTTTTTCTTACATTCCAAGTCACAAAATGAGATTGTTTTTGATATTTTTTGTGCCATTGTAATATCATCACATGACCATACCATTTCTTACCCAAAATGAGAAAACATGAGCTCATATTTTCAAGTCATTTTCGAATGTCATACCATATGAGGCAACCACTCAAAACCGTATACAAACTCATTTCCAATCCTCCAAACCACACCTATTCATTTCCTCGCCTCCCTCTGTCCCAAAGGATTGACTTAGATGCATGGAAAAGCACCCAAACCCGTGTACATCTCACTTTGGCATTTTTGGCAAGTTTTTGAAATCAAAAGAATTACTCATCATGGGCCTGTAAAAACCCCTTACAACATTCATATATAAGCCATAAACAAACCATAACATGATCAGAGGGTGAGCATCTGCAGAGAGAGTGAGTTTCATTAAAAAATATCTCAAGTTTTCCTCTCTTCGAATTACATTTCTCTTTGGCATTTCCTTCCATTTCTTGCTTGATTCTCAATCACTGAAGCATAAGGAGGAGATTGGTGGTGTTGGTTTGAAGCTTGCATAACGTTTGAAGGACCAACGGAGTTGCTCCGTTAGGTAACTTTATTCAAACTGAAACCCTCATTCTAGGTATCAAAATATGCTCATATTGGTTGCATCTGAAGCCCTACCATGTGTAGGCAATGTTTGAATCCTTGTTGTGGTTGTTTGGTCCATTCTCAATTTGAATGTTGAATTTTTGTGGCCTGACTTCACTATGATTATGAGACCTTTTTAAGAAACCATTGGCATATTTGTGATCTATGCGAAAAGACCTTCAAAACCATACCAAATGTTTTCATTTTTATGTTGTTTCCAGTCACCATCGGTGAATCTCACCGGGGAAGACGACCGGAGCTAGCGCTCAGGCGTCTGAGGTCAAATGCTGAGGTGTTTGGTGATTGGGATTTGACTTGCGTGCGTGGAGGTTTGAATCTGAGGTGTCTTGCCATGTGTTTAATGAAATGATTTGTTTCATTTAGACTGAGCCTTGGTTTGGTTTGGGCTCCAATTTTTCTTGCTATTGACACCTAAAATTTGAGCCCCATTTGTGTGTTTCAATAGATGTCAATTCATTGGACTTTTGCTATCACACCTCCCTTTCATTTCTTTTTATTTTATTTATATTTCTTTTCTATTTTCATTTTAAATAGTTTTAATCATTATAAAAATCAACAAAAAATACTCTCTGTTTAATTAGTGTCTTGAGATATTTTTAATTATTTTTATTTTATTTTAAATTTATTTTTATTATTTTTAATCAATTTATTTTGTAAAGTGGTATTATGGTTTGTCTTATTGATTTAGGTTTGAAGTTTGACCTCATTTGAATACCCTCTTTGATCAATTTTCCTCTCACCCTTGGGTGTTTGATTGAGGAATATTTGAGGGCTGGTTTGAGGTCTTGATGATCACTTCTTGATTGTTTTTAATTTGATTTTATTTGACCCTCGATGTATGCTCGACAAGTTGAGTACCTTACTTTGATTGACACAATTGGTGAGGCTTTGATGCAATTCTTGCCATGATCTTTTGCACACTGATTTTGGATGGACTTAACTTGAGTTTGGTAATTTATTTGGATTTTATTTGGACACATTTCTATTTTTGATTAATGCCTCAAAACTCCATGGTTTTAATTATGTGTGTGTGGGTGTGCACA